TAAAAAGTTGCCAAGTAGGCTATGCTCATAACATTTGTATATGTATAGGTACTTTCTGTTGAATGACGATTGACGAGAACTCTCCTTCAAACTGGCGGGCGAAAGCATTCAGTGAAGCGAGTAAAAAAAAATACGCAAGTCATCGACTTGTCAAAAGAAAGTCTTTAATGTACATATTGAGCAGACAACTGCGAGTTGAGGAGTAGCAGTGCGCAGCAGCTACACATCCGTGTTGTTCATCAACAGTTAAAATCAACATATCTGTGCTATAAATCAACGAGAGTATTTAGAAGTAGGCAGTTAGTTAGTTAGTTACTTAGTTAGTTAGTTAGTGACTACAATTGCGGTAATAAACATGGGGTAGCAAATTTTTAAAGCAAACATGCATATGTATGTATATTAGGGTGGTCCTTAAATGTAGGAAGCAAATTTTTACATCAGCTTTTCTAAGTCTCAACCCCTACGTCTATGCTCCTATAGTCGCAGATATGAAATATAAATTTTTCTCCCGATTTGAGACGGTTAATGCGTGTCGCACAGGGGTAGAAGTTCAGATTCCTCTATGGAGACTGAAAAAATGAAAATTTTTTTTTTTTTCTATCTAATACCCAAAATATATCCTACCTTAGTTGATGATATCACATATAAAGTTTTGGCTCCGATTGCAGTCGGTTAAGGTCTGATTACCCTATGAAAAGTATCGATTTTGGGTATTAAATTAAGAAATATTTTTTTTTTTANTACCCTATGAAAAGTATCGATTTTGGGTATTAAATTAAGAAATATTTTTTTTTTAATTTAGAGGCATCTGGCCTCTGGTGCCATTGCGACACGCTTTAACGGACTCCAATAGGGAGCAACATTTATATGTGATATCTGTGATCGTGGTATTGTCGATTGAGGGGGTGAGACTGAAAAAAATTGTTCATTTGATTTTTTAAGGACCGCCCTATTGTATATATATATCTATATACAAAAATACAAAGGAAGAGCAACTTTTTGGCTTTTACGGCTGCGTAAAATTACCTTGAAAGACATAGCTCCATGGAGCCAATGTGAAGTCCGTGATCTCCACCTTGACCGCTAAGATAATTCTTGCTGTAAACTGGAGAGAGCCTCATTTTTGATTACAAGCGACAAGATATAGAAGCGCATGGAGAGCAGCGATTGTTGTTGTTCTCAACGCAATAGTGATGTCCACGCAGGCAAGTCGTTGGGGTTTCCTAAGCTTGGCCGGCGTGGATTTTATTTCTGCTTTCTTTCGTATGGGCTGGTATGCAGCTCCCAAGAAAACGGTCAAGAAAAAAATTGCCATTATTTCGTGTGTGTGTTCAAGGAATTTTGACAACTTATACTTCACCACCCTGTTGGCTCGCTCTTTCCTCCAAGATATAATGGAACGGGCATATATTTCTGTTGCAAGCATGGGTTGCCTTGTGCTCTTTTTTCACAAAAAAAACTTTAGAAAACTTTAAGAACTGCGTACTGCCTCAAGAAAATTTTACACAAGAAAATTTCTTAGGCCTTTTGTTGTACGTCATCTTATACGGGCATGACATGTCCCGTCTCGTTTGGCGCAAGTGTATTATATCTAAGGGGGACAACATGAATATTATTGAATGAATAAATATATTTTGGTTAAAAATTTAATGCCACCTTACTTTTTGAATACACCTCGTATATCGAATTGCCTATTTTAATCGATTATAGAATAGATAATTGCCCCAAGGCACTTGTTGCGGCCAGCCCATACCTGATCTGGCAATGGTGGGTAAAAATAAAACTTAAGAGCCTAGCTTTAATATTTTATTCTTCTTGAAGCCAATTGTAGCCATTTCAACTGATTCTCATTTAGATACAAAGTGTGCTATTAAACTGTCATCACTCATTATTGAATAGAAATATCATAGAAAAGCAATACTTGAAACTCATACAAATGTCTAAAGCCACAAAAGTGCTGAGAATACTACATGTGAACATTTTAACAATTGAAGTTGTGCACAAATTAGCATAACATATGCACATTAGACTGCATCACTCCCCATACAAAAAAAAAATCGGTACTGTTCAAAAACATATTTAATGAACAATTTTTATTCAAAAAAACTTCATTTTTGGAGGTTATTTCAAATCGGTCCAGCTCACGTAAATCTTAATATTTTTCCGAACTATTTGGCGGACGTCTTAAAATATAATAAGTTTTGTAATCCCGGCGGACAAACTGCAACTTTTTTGGTGATGCAGTCTAATGTACATACATTCATACAAATGTACATAAGTTTTAATTAACAAATCGCCACCCAAATTTAAATGTAATTTTTAATTACAACACATCATTATGAGCAGTAAAGTGTATTGCAACAAAGTTAGTGTAATGGAATTTGCATACAAAACGATTTATGTGCTTGAAAAATAACAATAAAGCAATTGAAGTATAGACATATAAAAATGCTGAGCTTTTGTGAAAATTTTTATTATTTTCCAAAATGAATGGCATTTTTTACAATTTTAATTATTTATGCAAAGTAAATACCATATCTCCTTAAACATGTACATATGTCTGTATGTGCATTGTGTGTGCAAATGCATTAATGTAAATTTTGCTGTCAACAAATCCAAGCAGTAGTCAGTGAGTAATGAATAAGGTTTATGCTTAGAAAAGGTAGAAAGAAGTTCGCACAGCTGTGTAGTACATACAGACATATGTCTGTATGTATATATTCGCATATTGCCACTTATTTGCATAAGTTTTACGCGCTGTGGCGCATGCGCAACTACTCCTCTTTGCAAATTTTGTTGCGCATGCGCGTTTAACGGGTACAAAATATGTACATAACTTACATATATAAGTAGTAGAAAAGAATCTGCTACTCATCGAGNACCTCTATGCAAATGTTGTTGCGCATGCGCGTTTAACGGTTACAAATATGTACATACATAACTTACATATATAAGTAGTAGAAAAGAATCTGCTACTCATCGAGCCATTGCAGATTTAATTCATTGAACTTTTGCGCTAAATTTCTTAAGTAATCTAAGCATGCAGTCGCTTTAAAAATAAATTTACTTTTTTTCTACATGCTTTTCCATTTTGAGTCAGCTCGACATTTGTCAAGAGATTCTAAATGATATGCTACCTCGCGTGTATGCCATGCTTTTATGCATACTTGAGTGGAAAAAATCTGAACTGAAAAGCGTGCATGGCCTACGAATTACATGCTTAAGTGAATGACACAGTTATTTGTGGCACGAAAATGCTTGTTTTTTTTGGTAGAATTTTTTCAAGCAATCGACTTTTGCCGGAAGCAGAATGTGAAAAAGCTTAATTGGACTGCGTGACTGTCAAATACATTTGCGAAGAAATTTTTTAAATTTAATTTAATTCTTTAATAAAATCAAGGTGATTGAATTAAATTTTCCTTATATTATTTTTGTATATTTGTACATACACATTTATTCCAATTTGTTATTAGAAATAAACATGAAAAATTATTTTATTTTAAAAATTTGGTTTTATTTATAACATTATTTTAATTTAATTAAATTTATTTTAATTAGTTGATTTCAATCCAATTTAATTGATGTTAATTTAATTTATATCAATGTAATTTGATGTATTTTAATTTGACCCAAGTAAATTTCATTTTATTTAGCTTAAATTTAATTTAACTAAGGAAAAGATAATTTAATTTAAATTCAGTCAATTTAATTAATTTCCTTTTTTCTTCGACCTTTGAAAACGTGGATTATAAGATATTGTCTATTTTCCTTTGTTTAAACTTTTTTTGTTATTTTTATATTAAATTAGTTTTTATTAAATTTATTTTAATTTTGAAAATTTATTAATATTATTTTATTTTATTTTATTTTAATGTCTTTTCTTTATTCAATTTTATTATATTTTATTTTATTTTATGTTGTTTATTTTATCTCAGTTTGTTTTATTTTATTTTATTTTATTTTGTTTTGTCCTTTATTTTCTTTTTTTTTTCTTTGACTTGATTTTATTTCATTTTGGACCTAAGTTTTTGATAAATCGAAATTTTAATAATAAAAATGTTATACAATTTTTTTATTTAATATAGTTTTATTTTATTTCTTTTTATTAAAAAAGTTAATTCTGAAAATTCATTTCATTCCTTTAAATTTTCTGTGTCAAGAAATTTTAATTATTATATGTTTATTTTTTTTAATGTATGTTAAATATTATTTTAGAGGAAATAATTTTAATAAAAAATTTTGTTAGTTTATTTTGTTTTGTTTTATTTTACTTTACTTTATTTGACTATATTTAATTTTATTTTATTTCAGTTTACTTTTTTTTGGTTCTCCTTTTTAGTTAAAGTAAAAGAAATATTTAAATTTAAAAAAAAATTAAAATATGTTGAAAGTTTTTTATTTGATTAAAATACATTTTTTCTCTTGCTTCAAAAAAAATTAATTTTCATTTTAAAAAATTTAGCTACACAAATTTTTATTTAGTGTCCTTTATTTCTAATTTTGATTTTAGTTTTAATTTTACCGCCTATTATTTTATTCTATTAAGAAAAAATAAAAATAGTTTATGTTTAAAAAATTTTTGCTATTTTATTATTTATTTAAACTTAAACTTAAAATTTTAAAATAATTAAAGATTTGTTATTTTAGTTTGATTAAATTTAATATATATCCAAATATAACACATTGCTTCAATTTATGGATTTCATTTTATTTTATTTCATATTTAGGTTTCAACCTTTCTTTTCCTTTAAAAATTTTGTTTTAATTTCTGCAATTCTGCTTGTCCATTAAACTTTTGCATCAGCGTTCAACTGTTTAATTTTTGTGTTTGCCCCCAGTCTCTTAAAAAATAAATTTTTCAAAACAACAATATTTTACACAAAATTCACAATCTTCATCTCCAAATCCCAGCGCTATTCCCACTCATTTGCATTCCATTCCTTCCGCACACATTTGCACACACAGACTCGCACTCTGTACTACTTAGCAAGGATATTCACCTCTATGTTGTTGTATATTAAATACACGGCTGCAATTTATTCGTAGTTTTGTGATTTTTTTCTTAAGTCTGTTTACTATCTTTATTTGCACAGTTCCTTTCGAATTATTTGTAAAAAAAAAGTAAAACAAGAATTATGCAGTTACTTAAGTTTTTCCAAATTTTAAATCACAGCGGTAGTTTTAGCTTAAACCATACGCAACGCAACACTTTTACCAACTGATCGCCCCAACGATCTTACCACAGTTTATAGCTGTCCCCAAAAAATGCTTCATTCACACCAACATCAACATCACCACCATCACCAATATAACCACCACCAACATCGGCATCGGCATCGTCATCGTCAACGCATCGTCACCACAGCTGTAGCATAATTCGTTGCAGCTGCTTTTAACGAACGACGCCACCACAGCGCTGCCATGAGCAGTCAGCTTTGCCCATGGCAGCGGCGCCGACTTCACTCACGAATTTGCGCATCGACTTGGCTAAGCAGATGCCTCGCTTTTGGCCGATTTGGCGCAGAGTTGGCTAGCGATTTGTGGTGGCGCATCACAGCGCTTTGAGCAACAGGTTCACGCTGCTGACAGCAGGCGTTGGCGTTGGCGTTGGCGTTGGCGTTGACGTTGGCGTTGCTAGCACATACTCGTTCATAAGTGTTTTCATTGTGGTCGCGTGACAAGCTGCAGACCTGCATTTTTGGGAGGATTTTATTAAAAAAAAATATTTCACGATTGCTTAAATTTCTTTCTTTCTGTGCTGAGTGTGCCGTAATGGGATAAAAAAGATTGCGAGCTTGTGATTGAAGAACTGATTATAAACAGAAAGCAGCAAATGCCCCAAGTGAATATTATAATTACATACTCTGTTCCTCAGTAGCCATTTTACAATCGCTAACTTTTGGAGATTTACCTTACCTTTACCTTTACATTTACATTTACATTTACCTTACATACGGTATTCTCTTATGAATATTACAATTGCCATTACCATTACCAATTATATCAACATCACTTTACTTTTCCCATTACCATTAATTTAACTTTTACAATTACCATTACCATTACCATTACCTTTACAATTACCTTCACCTCAACCTTTAGCTTACATACTCTAACTTTATTATGAACATTGTAATTGCCATTATTATTACCAATTAAATATATCACCATTACTAATACTAATCATTGCCCCTACAATTTGCATTACCATTACCATTACAATTACCATTAAAATTATTAATACTAACTATTTTCCCACCATTTGCATTACCATTACTCTTACCAATACCGTTATAATTACCAATACCGTTATAATTACCAATACCATTACGATTACCATTACCACTACTTTTACCATTATCTCCCATCACCAGCGATATAGGTCGCTACTAATACCACTACCACTACCATTACTTTAACCTTACCACTGCAATATCTCCTTGAGAGTTCGCTTCTTAAGTCTTTTGTTTTTTGGTTTATTTTTGCATAGCTTATACCTACTTAAATGAAGCATTGAATGTTTGACGGTATAGACCTAGTTTACTCGGTGTTTCTACGTCGGCTAGATGATTTCGTGAATAGCATTTGGAAGAGGATTGCTTGAATGTATATTAAAGACAGCAGTTGGTATTTGTGTTTGCTAAATTTTTATCTAAACCAAAGAAGCAACGAACTGTATATAACATTGCTTAAATCTTGGTTGCTTTAGTTGGTTTTAAGATTTGTTTTTGTTGATACATTTGTTGTTGTGATACATAATAGTGCATATAACTTGCTTGCTTGCTTAATTTCATTAATCGTTTTCTTCCGTCTGCATTGCAGGAAACTGGTGTAAAGAAATTGCTGTAAGTTTTTATTAAAGACGGAGTAATTTTTAGACGGAGTGAGGGTGATGCATTGGAAGTAAGATTTAGCCAATTAGAGTTTTGGTTGTGAAAAGTGTAAATAAAGAGCGTTTCATTGTTGAGTTCCTGATAAAAAAAAACCCTTATATTTATTAAAAATATTAAGGATGAGATAAGAGCAAAATTAAGCGGTTCCGCAATAAAATGATGGGCTCTCGAATTTAAAAGCACACATTTTTTACATCACCAGATGCATCCGAAACACTTTTGTGTATGCCTCAAAAACATCCACGATTTTTACTTATTTTACTTTTTCCTCTTGATTTATTAGTGCACGAAATAAAAATTGCTTAGTATTTTGAGCTTAGTAATTTATATATATATATATATTATATCATTATTATAACTTATACATATATATGTATTTAATTTGCGAATAGTCTAAAGCAATATGCCATTTTTTATATATTTCGTTATTTTAGCCTATTGAGTTTAGAACGCATGCTTATTTATTTATGCGTACTACTAGTAAATATGTAAATATATATATTTTTAAATTTTAATTCAAGTTCAATACTTTCACTTGACTTTGAGCTATACAAATGTGTGTGTTTAGCTATGAGTAGAGATACAATTATAGATACCAAATCGAAATTAAAAGCATCTTCATGCAAAAATTCTAACAACTCACATACTCCTGCATGTGCACAAAAAATATATGTATGTGTGTATGTAACTACATTAAAATTATATATATATATAATACCAGATTTAAGGAACTGCACACACATTTCAGAACAAAATTTATTTTATTTATACCCCACGAGCCCTTTCAAATATCTATGATGTTCTTGGTTTATATTTCAAAAGAAATACTCCAGATTATACGTCGAAATCCAATGATTAATATGTATCAGATCCTATTTTCAAATTTTCAATAAGTAACATACTTTCTAATAGAATTTTCATCCGATAAGGTTTCGAATGCTGAAATTCATATCATTTAGATAATAAAAAATTAAAAACCCAGTTTCTTGTAATGAAATACTTAAGCCATAAAATTTAACAGAGTTTTTCAGTCCGATACCTCTCTTTACCCATTCCTTATTTTTATTAAAAATGATGCAAAATCGAAAAATAAATTTCATACACACTTATTGCATTTTTTTACTGCAGTCTAATTGGGTATAAGTACACGCGCTTTATATAAATTTGTTCTAAACTACATACATACATAATACATATGTATATTAAATTGCCTGATGATTAAACCATAAAAATTGTTGCACAAAAATGCTGCCAGGCACTTTTGCGAGCAAAATCGATTTTTAGAAATGCACAAACATCGTTCGTTACGCACTTAACAACAAATTGACATTGACAATGAAGTGAAGATGAGCATAACAGGTGCAACTATTTGGCAATAAAATAAAAATAATAAAAAAAAATGGTGTACTTATGTTTGTAATGCAAGTCACATGCTATCATTTCAGCTATTAAACTTGGCAAATGCATTTTTCTTATTTTTATGCGTTCAAGTACGAGACTTTTAAGTGGCATTGGCGTTTTGCAAAAAAAAAACAAGTTAATAAATAAAGCTGTAATAATTAGAAAAATATTTATATATGCGTTGTGAAACACCTCAACCCGAAACTAGCGAGAGGTGGCATCATCACCACGAAACGCCCCTCCAAAAAAGTGGAATATACTGATTGCGCTTAAAAATTTTCGCCGGACCTACGATGTGGCGTAAAAATTAAGTAGATAAATATCAAATCAGTTAACAAAACAAAGTACTACAGCCGACTAACTGCGAGTGAAAAATTTGACTTTTTCCAGTACTCGCATAGAAAATCTGGAAAAAAATACTCTTTATGACATTCAAATTTCCAATTAAATTCTAACTCGATTGCCGCCAAGTGATATGGTTGATTTTCAAATGAGTATAATAAAAAAAAGTTATGTGCGTATATTTTATGATATCATTCGTACATACCACAATGGTCTGGAATTCATTTTTTTGGCATATACTCAAAAACAAAATAATTTAACTGATTTTAAAAAATGGGGTACGTACATTTCAGTGGTCCAAAATATGCAAAAAATAAACTTGGTAAAGCAACCCTGTTCTATTTATGAGCTGTCAAAAGATTGTAAGAAGCGAACTGTGTGATAATAGTTAATATAAAAAAAAAATTAGTAAAGTTTCAAAGGAAAACAATAAGAAGGTTTCTGTTTTTGAACTGAATAAAAAACAAATGTGGTTGTTTGTGTCATATCTGTATGGTGCGGTGTTTCGTGCTATAATTTTTTTATCGTCAAAATTTGGTATTTTCCTGTATTTTGTGGAGTAAAAGTTGTATGTAGAGTCCCGTATTGTTCAAGATTTTTATGTTAGGTAAAAGTTGAGAGTCTGCTCTTTAAAATCATGTATGTGGGCTTTGCCCTTTTTTGCCCCATTTAAGAATATTTGTAATTTTAAGCAATATTTGAATTCCAACACAAAAATACCAAAAATACTTGGAGTTTGGCTAGAGGGCGATCGTATAACTACTAAAGCTTATTCACTCCAAATTAATATTTACAATGATTTTTAGGCAAAAAATAAGACTATTAAAAATTTTTGGAAAATAGCCGCGCCCACTTATGATTACATGTATATATCTCGGTAACCGTTGGATCAATTGCCAATACCAAACTCGGTATAATTATTGTGCATGCCATATAAAAGCAAATCGTTGAACTTCGGACTAAAATTATGCCCACTTTTCATATAACGGTAAATTTCAGAAATTCTAAAAACTTCAATATTTCGAAATTTAAGCACGCTAATATACTCAAAATCGATACTCACAACAATCACTTGAAAAAAAGTAACATTATTATGGAATTTTGGAAAATGGAAAAAGTCTAACTGAATATACTAGCGACACTAATTTTTTTTGAGATCAGTGAAGTGATTGGTGAGATATACGAAGTTTCTTTATCAGTGAGCGGGCTACGCCGCTTTTCCAAAATTTTAAATATATATCAAATTTTTCTTTGCTTTTTTCTTCTTCTATTTATGTGGCATACTAAGCCTACACACAAAACTAAAGTGACATATTTCGTTTCTAATAATTTATGCCAAAAAAATGATTTCCCGCCCATAGTGCATACGTGAGGAATTTGACTTGGGCCGAAAAACAACGTAAAACGGAGTCAACCTCTTAGCTGGTTCAGAAAGTTTTTCAAAGTAATATATTTATCCGTCACAAATATTAAATAAACGCCATTAAAAAAAATATATATTTTTATATTTTTTGGTTATTAGGTATTTCTGGCTTAATAATATAAAAAAAGAGAAAATTATGTAAATCAAGTGAAAGACCTTTATTTTGACGTAATTAGTTTT